GGGACTTCTTCTGCTTTCAACAAGGAGGCAGCTACTGAAACCTCACTGGAAAACAGAACGCATGAGACGTCAGCGAACGATCCAAGTGACGTTGACCCTGACTACGATAACTTCCCAGAGGGCGGGAAAAGGGCTAACCTGGTTGTTCTGGGCTCCTTCTTTGCGATTCTCATCACTTTCGGTAATATGAACACCGTGGGTGTTATCCAGGCGTATGTCTCTGAACACATTCTACAGGACTCATCCACGTCTGCTGTTGGTTGGGTGTTCTCGGTGTACTTCTTCTTCTCCTTTTTTGGTGGAATATACGCAGGCCCTATCTTTGACTACACTGGATCGAAGATCCCAATGTATGTGGGCTCCATCTGTATCATTGTCGGGTTGTTTGCGACGGCAAACTGCAACACTGTGTGGCAGTTTGTTCTTGCGTACGGAGTGGTTGTTGGCGTTGGAACAAGTTTCCTCATGAACTGTTGTATTTCATCAGTCTCGCACTACTTCCTGAAAAAGAGAGGTATGGCTCTAGGAGTCTGTTCTATTGGTGGTGCTCTGGGTGGTGTGCTATGGCCATTGCTTTTCAGACAACTGTTCCCGAAAATAGGTTATCAGTGGTCTATGAGAACCTATGCATTCATCAGTTGTTTCTGCTTAGGAATTGGGTGTATTCTCGTAAAGAACAGAATCACCAAGAAGAAAGGAGATAGCTCTGGGTACACCGTCCTCAAAGAATCGTTTGTGCTGCAAGATCTGCTTAAAGATAGAAGTTATTTGTATTTGACCATATCTATCTTACTCTGTGAGTTCAGTCTGGTGTTGGCAACTACCTATATGTCTTCCTACACCATCTACAAAGGTCATTCAGAGGATGACGCTTTCTTGGTTTCCATCGTTTGTAACGCAGTTGGTGTCATAGGGAGATGGCTCCCTAATTACATGTCCGACAAATATGGCTCATTGAACGTCATGTTCTTGAGTGTGATGACATGCTCTGCTCTTGTTCTTGTGATATGGCTCCCGTTTGGACACCATCTCAACGTCATGTATGCATTCGCTGGACTATACGGTTTCTTCTCCAGCTCCACCTTGTCTCTTACACCGGTTTGTTGTGGATTGATTGGGAGACCAGAAGATTTTGGGAAGAAGTACGGCACAGTGTACTTCCTCGTTGCCTTTGGTAACTTGATTTCTTTGCCTATCGCTGGTGCAATCATAGGCGATGGCAGTGGTTACAACAACATGATTGTTTTCTGCGGTGTTGTTGAAGTGGTTGCCTCTGTAATGTGGCTAGCTACAAGAACAAGTCTAGTGGGATGGAGATGGAAAAGGATATGATAATCGAGGCTTTAGCTAGTGCCATTATACAACTAATGACCACTGACATAGGTCTCTCTGAACCTCTTCTCTGAGTATTCCCGAGCAGTCATGTACTCTGACTCATCTTTGTTCAAGTCGATCTCCTCGGTTGCTGCTGCTGCAACAATAGGAGATGGAATTGGAACCATTCTTACAGAGTCCTCTGCATCAAAGAAGAAGACAATTGAGTATCTATCTTGGCCTTCAGTTGGCAAAGTGACCCTGTGCAGTGTGCTCTTCAAGACGTTGTTTGTCCATGCAGAGAGTTGGTCAGCAATGTTAATCACTATAGGAGCAGCTCTCCCTTCTTCGAGATACTTTTCATTTGTAGACTTCACGAATGGCACTGGTGTCCATTTGTCACTGGTGTCGAATATCTCAAGGCCCTCTTGTCCTTGTTTTTGGAACAGCAGTGTAATTGACCCGTAATCGGTGTGAGCACCTGCTCTCACTCGCATCTCGGCATCCATCTTGGAAGTTGCTGGGTAGTGCAACATTCTCATGGATGTCATTGAGGTGCCTGATGCCCTGTGTCTGTCACTGAACCAGTTAGAGCCACCAGCTTCCTCGTCGATCTTCAGTCCCATTGCCAAAAGCTTCAAGATTTGAGTGCCCAGGCTGAACATCTTCTTGGTCATCTTCTGAATGAAAGCATAGTTCTCAGTGCCATCTGCAAACATGTCAGGAAGCATGGTCTTATCGCAATCACCAGTGACAAAGTTGAAATGTCCAAAATTGAAGGCCTCTTTGGGGTCACCTTTCTCTTGAGTTTCCGGATCAAGATTCTCCTGGTTGAACGTGGTGTAACCACAGTCCTCGTGGTTGATGGCAAACTTTAGCTTCTCTTCCTTTGGAAGTTGGAAGAACTGCTCGCTTAGCTCGAAGTAATGATCGACCTCTTGCTGTGTGAAATCATGGCCATCGACGAACAAGAACCCTTGCGTGGTGAAACCATCGAGGATCTTGTCTGCGGTCTCCTGTGTAAGTTGCGAAACATCCACCACTTTCAGTGGGTTGCTGTGAGCTGTCATTGTGGTGGCTTCTGTCTTTCTCAGCCTCTCTGTGAATCGGCAATGGGTACAGACCAGCTAGTTGAAACTTCTCTTTAAATACACAATTTCTCGACCAATGAGACTTCGTCTTATCTATTTCCGTTGAGCTTTCCTTAAACAGTAATTTATTCCGAAACGTCGGAAGCTCTGGTGGGCCGCCGGTGGAGAACGTAAACCCTCGGATGCCTGATGCTGTTACTTTCTCTCCCTGAAGCGAGAGCGATGCTGAAGATTGATAAGGAAGTCAGCTCTTTGCATGGTGTGGGATGTAAGCCATTTCCGCTGGACTGTATAAATCTTGGGTTTATGGAGCCTTGTTCGGGCAGTAGGACTAATTGGAAACGTCTCTCAACATCAACATGTTCAAGTGCTGTATTCGGGTAATACGAACATTCACGAGTGCCTTTACAGTTGAAGCCACATTTCAAGTTGCCACACGTCATGTCTCCAGCCAACAGCCGGTAGTGGTCTCTCCTTCGATTCTCCTGTAGTAGTAGGGCAGTAGTAGTAGTGCCGTACACGGTGGCCGTAGAAAGGCTATAACTTGGAGTAGGGACACCCTGAGTTTGATTCCGCTCTAGCATGAGCATGTAATGAGGCCTAAGTTATGCTTAGCTCCGACCTTCTCTGAGTCTTGACCCCTGGTTATGTCGAAGAGTCTGAGACACAACTGTTCGGCAATATGTAGCGAAATACATGATTTGGGGGGCATGTTGTTCTGCTTACTCCGTGCTGTGACAGTATACATTGAATGGCCCTGTGCTCGCTCAAAAGAGCTCGTAACCAACCGCAAATAAATTAATGCACGTGGGAAACCACAGCTGATCACTAATGGTTTCCTGGATTGTTTGAATCGCATGGCAGACCACTGCAGCTACATGCCGACTCATGGATTTTGTCTTTATCATTAAATAGGTTTAAGTGTGTCGTAGTTTGCTGCGCGACATGTGCACACATGTATGTATCAGGAGTCTTCGATCTTTTAACCAACTACACACAGTTGGCTGGTTTCTTTTGCAGTGAAGTACGCGTGGTCCATATATGAAGATAACATATACTGTCAGGCTTTCAGTTCCAACTGCATGGAAGGTTCTACGAAGGACCATGTAAATAATCGGTACTAATATTACTCAGGCAAGGTCACTGCGGACCAGTTATAGCCTTTGGTGTGCTACAGTTCCAAAGCTCAAAGTGGTATGACTTCCAGCTCGGAGAGATTAAAAATAATGTAAGCCTTAGGACTCTCTTTCCGCTTGGCGTTGTCCATGAGAAAGGAATATCGGCCAACATTGCTTAACCCTTTGAGTAGGACCTATCTATTTTGGTACACTACGCATGTGGGAAAGAATAACCTCTGAACCATTTATCCGTGTTATGCCCAGTTCAGAACAACCTGCCTTGTTCCAAAATCGACGCGTAAGTTGGCTAAGCTTGTGAAACAGTTGCCTTCTAAAGGGCACTGGAACTCTGCTAAATAGCCCAATTGGGCCTTAGAACAACCAATTTCGAATAACCATGTCCTCAGACGTTGGAAGACCAGCTGGTACGAGTCCAGTCGAATAACTATGCATTACTATTCGCAGGTAACGCAGCGAAGTAATGCGCCTAAATAGTGCACAGAGCACTGGTGTGCCCCTTTTTCCTCTTATCGATATAATAAGCCAACGTTTCAGACTACATCAAATCGCCCTGTAGCACTACCTACTGATAGGATTTGTCGTTCAAGATAATATTGTCGGCTTTATGTTTTGGTCTGACCGGTTCCACTTTTGTTCATCCACACCCACAGGCCCTAGTTGTGGTCATGTTCGTCATCGTACTTGCATGCATAACGAAAAGGCTAACAAGCTTGTCAAGCTGCAAGTTGTGAAGGAATTACAGAAGTGCATCTTGAGACCTACGATTTATAACTTCCAAGCTGGCGACCATAAAGTCTGTTCTTGTAAACAACGCGTTTATTATTGTTTTGGTTGGTCGATGCGAGTTTCAGTTTGGCTCAGCCTATCGAATCAGAGATTGGAAGTGATGGGAGATTATAAAAATTGATGAGTCAACAAAACACACCCCAGATTTGCGTGGCTAGTGGGTCGCATGGCATAAGTGCCTACCTCAATGGTGTGATGATAGATAAACAATATGTAAGCTTGTGCAGCGTAGCTGGATAGCAGAGCTTGACTCCTCAAGGCAATACTGCCTATTAGTGGCCTCACGTCATCATGATATAGGTGGGTTACACCCCTTTTGAGAAGCCGCATCAAATAGCGCTGATTTGTCGACCCTGTCAGGTAGTTGTAGATTTGTGAGATTCATCTTACATAATTGGGCCTTAACCTACATATAATCAATCCAACTATATGCAGAGATGTGTGGAGGCATTATTAAAATCGACAGACTCTGAGTCGATGAACCATTGGTGATATGTAGCAATTGCAAAAGTATAACCTAAATCCAGACAGATTTCACCATTTCTTCACAGAAGTCATGACTATTTCAAACTCCCACTATTGCCTAGTATTTACCATTTTGTGCTGAGGACGCAATCATATTATAGAACTTAGGTCTCCTGGGATAACTGGTCTGCAGAGGGGGGTTGCGTGTTGGATAAGACCATTTTAACAGAACCAAAGCGTTGTAGTATTCGTTCCAAATCAGAATGTTGGACCAAATCATAGGCACAACTGATAAAACAGGCTCCTTCAAATGTCTGCTTTGGGAAATCCAATCGATCAATTTTCCGGTGAAGGCGTGTAGTGTCTCAAAATATTTTAACCGCTTGCATGAACTCTGAATCTCTTTATGACGATTTGGCATCTTATTCTAACAATTGGTTCCAAACTTCAGCCACCCAGGACTATTTGCTATTAATAGACTTTGGTCTGAACATCGATTCATTAAAAGGAGAAACCGGCTCACAAATACCCCATTTCATTACAGTAGTCTGAATAAAAAGTCAATCACATAGCTTGAAAGTAATTGAAAACTTACTCCCAGTGAGGCAGTCATTGAAATTGACGTCTTTAAAGTTCGCTATATCACATTGTGGTGAACTGTGGCTGACACACCAATTGACATGGCCTCGTGATTGGATCCATGTATATTTAAGTTACACTGTACAGCGTCAATCGAGTCGATTGCAGGATCAAATGTGTAGATCTGGGCGATCGAATCAGGAAGCTGGTAATTCTAAGGAGCCCATATGGCTGGCGCCACCTTGAACTTCAATATCCAAGAGTGATTGAAATGATATTTTCTAAGACAACCCATCGATTAACAAAAGCTACATGCATAAGGCTACAGGTGATATGTCCTTAGGTGGGTCTGAGGCACAATCTAGCATCGCTGCTCATCATTCATCATTGCTGTGCCTGCACCCTTTCTCAACTTCCTTCGTTTACTGAATGGACTAGATGTATGTTGATGGTATTAACGGGTACACTACATAAGTTTGAGCAAGAGTCTGCTTGAACGTGTGAACCCTGCACAATATCAATTATTACGAGCTATGTACGAATTGGTTTCGTAATAACCATAGACGAACGCCGCGCAACTTGTAACATTGGAAGTTTGCAAGTTGGTGGATGTTAACTCTAAGATCAGCATTGTACCGAATAACATTTTCAAGGCAGCATGCGGCAGATTGCATATGGATACATAACATTAAGTTGCATGACCGAACATTTCTTTATTCAAGGGACTATATACTTAAGGGAGATGGACAAATGCACACAACGAACTATACATAGTACGCTTCGAGAAACCCACCTTAGTATGTTTTGTACCGTGGGTTTCTTCTGTTATTTCACCTTAGCCAATGGACAAAAAGGCCTTGACCATATCCCGGTAGGCATTGAGTTGTAATCACTGCAAATAGGAGATCAATGTACTTCCTTGTGATTTTTCTATAAAAAGGAGGAAATTGTACTGTTTCCCTTGAATTACTTGATGTGAAGTTCTACAAACACCTCCAATCGCTATGTACTCATTGAAGCTTGCTGGATCAGCACTACTTGCTGGTCAAGTGGCTCTTTCGCAGTCCGTCTTTACTCAAAAGTTTTTGGAGCCTTTTGTCAAGACCGATGTTGTCGCCAATGATCAAGCGGCTTTCCCTTACACTGTTTGTGAAGTCTCTCGTCAAACCCTCAACTTAGGCAAGGACAATTCCGTTTCTCTTACCAACTGGGTTGCTACAGATGAGAGTGACTACACCCTTTACATCCACACTCAATTGCTCAAGGGTACTATCAAGAGCACATCTCTTTACGACTCTTCTGAAGTTGGATCCTTCTCTGGATTCTCTCAACTTGAGGATGGTGTCCTTTTCACTTATGAATCCATTAACCCAGCCAAGTTCTCTGATGATCTTGCACTTCAATTGATCACAGAGACTGGTTCCTATGTTCTCTCTTCTGACTGTGAAGCACCAAACGCTGCTGCTCGTAAGGCTTTGGCAGCCGGTGCTGTTTGTGTTCCAGTTCACATTGCTGCCCCATCTGATGAATCTTGT